ACTGTCTGTGTCTGGTTTTGGGCAGGTGCTTCTCTGGCTTGTCAGCCTCAAGACACCCTGCCACCTCCTGGGTGGTGCTTTTCTTATTTCATTTGTGCTGCATGGCCTCTGAACAGCGATCGACGACTTTGGGGTGTAGCAGAACCTTGATGGTTTCCTCCCCTTATCCCGATGCACTGTTTTTGTGAGGTGGGTTGCCCTCTGGGGAGTTTTGGTGTTTGAGCCCAAAGGGTCTTGGTTGGGAGGCAGTCATCTTTTAGTAGTTTACCTAGTACCCAGGCCACATAGTGTACGTGTTTGTAGATAGCGAGCGGGCTGCCATTGAGCACTGCTATATAAATTGTTGATCAAAAAAAAAAAAAAAAAAGGCATCCCTTTCTGATTGTGCACCCACTGCCGTCTTCAGATGTTTGGCGACAGTCATGATAGTTGGAATGGGAGAGAATGTCATCAGTTGTCTCATTGAATTTCTTCCACCATAATTCAGAAGCTGTACAGTTGGTGCAGATGTTATCTGTATTGGTTGTCTTTTCATGCTTGCACAAAGCAGGTGGTGCTTTAGGCATAGTCTTAGTAGGATCGGAGGAGTCTGAATTCTTTGAATTCTCCTTGACATGAGATCGTACTTCATCTAGAGTGCCTGAATGCATTTCTCCCTGCAATCCCAAAGGCCTTCAGGCCTATAGTACTCCTCATCACTTTCGGTAAACTTATCGAAAAGATGATTGCCAACAGGATACAGTTTGACGCTGTCAAGCATGATATCTTCCATCCCAATCCATTTTTTTCTCAACAATTTATATAGTGGTGCTCAAAGGCAGGCCGCTTGGTATCTACAAACACGTACGCTACGCAACCCAGGTACTAAGTAAACTACTAAAAGACAGCCACCCCCCCAACCAAGACCCTTCTGGTGTGCGCGTCGAAACTTCCTGGAGGGCAACCCACCTCACAAAAACAGTGCATCGGGATAAGGGGAGGAAACCATCAAGGTTCTGCTACACCCCAAAGTCGTCGATCGCTGTTCAGAGGCCACGCAGCACAAATGAAATAAGAAAAGCACCACCCAGGAGGTGGCAGGGTGTCTTGAGGCTGACAAGCCAGAGAAGCGCCTGCCCAAAACCAGATGCAGAAAGTTAGCAGTGCTGCAACCTGCTATATCAGCAGGCCGCAAACACGAATGAGTGAAGCTGGTGCAGGTCTTTGAACCCTAGGGTTCGGTGGTGTCAATTCACCATAAATCCCCCTAAAGGAGGAACAACCCCGCCTGCAGTGATTATCCGACCCCCAAAGGGTCCCGGTTGAAGCCAAACGCCATGGGGTTGTGCTTCAAAAATGATGCAATATCCCCAAGAAAACAGGGATAGTGTACAGAGTATCTATCGCAGCAGCAAAAGAGGACGTGTTGGTGAGACTGCAAAGCAGCCCCACAAGTGCAGCCATGAGGCTCGTTAATCTTGAAGCGACGATAGTATGCTCCAATGGGTGTGTGGCCAGTTATACACCGGCAGACGCAAGCGAACTCAGTGATACTGTGTCCAAAGGTTGAAAGCCAAGGTCCCCTGTTGAGGTAGGATGGCTGTATCAGCCATCCGTCAGGCCATTGAAGCTCCAAAAATTCAGAGCCTCGGTAGGTATGATCCTGGAACATGGAGCCCCATGCATCCAGACTTGAGTGTGCAGCTTGAGAGCGTAGCGTGTCTATAGAATTGTCTGTCTTATGACGTCCAACCCTGACTTTGAGTTCAGTGACGTACTTGTGTGCTTCACCATGGATGTCCCACCACAATGCAGATGGAGCGTATACAAAGGTGATGTGGTGGAGATCATCCGCCTCGAACCACTCTTGGAGAGCGTGACAGAGTGACAGACTAAAAGCCTGGCCGGAATGTACGGAGGGGTCCACCACTCTATGGGCTGAGCCCATGGAGTCAGTAAAGACCATGATACGTTGGCAGTTTGCCTGCTTGACAGCAAGGTGCACTGCACATGAGATGGCATTGAGTTCCGCATCAGGGGCGGTTACCCTGCCAGAGACATAGCGAGTCCTTTCGAGCTCGTGATGTCCCTTGTAGATGATGGCAGCCAAAGCCACCTGATACTGGTTGGACTGAGGGACAGAGCCATCAGTTGCAGCCAGTACAGTTAGAGGGTCGGCCCTCACTTTCGCAATGAGCTCATCGAGATATGGGTGCCTAACCTGGGTGGGATCGCGCTTGTCAAAGTGGAGACGGTCCGCAAAGCAGTCCAGTAACTGGTCACCAGGGTGAGCTTCAGGTGCAAAGGGCTCGAAGCTCTCAGTTAAGGTGTGGACACACTCATCCACCTCCATGACAGTACTCTTGACTTTCCCTCACATAGCTGGGGTCATCAAAGCAGCTGAACAGGCATGTGGTACGGCCCGCTTAAGGAGTCTCTCACCCATCATAGAGCGAAGAGGATGAGAGTCTGAGAGGGTAGCAATGCGATACACTGCACACATTGCTAGCTTCTTCAGCATGAGATGGACGGGGATGAGACCAGCAAGGGCCTCAAGACCACCTGTGGGTGAGGTGCAGAAGGCACCTGTGATCCATAGAGCAGCTTTCTGCTGCATCCGCTTGAGCTGGTTCATGGTGCTCTCATTATGGGTGCCATCAAAATACCAGAGACAATAACTGTATGTGGCAATGGGAACCACGCACAATCTATAAAGGAGGCGTTGCTGCTTAGGCGAAAGTCCTCTGGTAGAGTTTCTGAGCAGGTGCATGGCCTGCACGGTGGTGAATGCCTTGGTGGCATAGTAGCAAACATGCTCATGAAACGTGAGCCTGCGGTCAAAGTAGAAGCCTAGGTACCTCCAATAGGTCTTGGGTTTCAAAGGTGTATCGCCTGTATGCGGGGCGTACCCCAGATCCAGCGAAGGATTATAGGTGTTGCGTCGACGCGAGAAGTGGAACAACTCAGTCTTGTCATGTTCAAGAACGAGTGCGAAAGCAACAAAGAGGAGGTAGATAATTTTGTAGGCCTTATGCAGGCCCACATTATTATCATCGAGTTGTTTGGATTGGGCCAAGATGGTCCCATCATCCACAAAGGAGAGTAGTGTCGTGTTGAGCAGTGCCGCCTTGATGTAGAAGAGCTTCATTACTGGAGCAATGAAGAGCCCTGAGGTAACAGGCAAGAGAGCAGAGCCCTGCCTGACACCCATGTCTGTGGACCGTGAGTCGGATTGGAAGGTGTTCCAGCAGTAAACTGTGGACCGACCGACAAGATAAGAAGCAAAGAACTCCACCAGAATCGGCAAGAATCCTTGCTTGCAAAGAACAGCCATGAACATTTCATGGTTGATAGAAGGGAAAAACTGCGCGATGTCAAAAGCCAGCATGCTAGTCTGGAGACCCTTAACCCACCCCACTGGCACAAGATGAGTCAGAATCAATCCAGCATCCTCAGTTGACCTTTGGCGGATACCGCCAAGCTGGTTTGGATGAAAGATATCATGTTTGACAGCATCAAACTGTATCCTGTTATACCGCATCTCAGATTGGCCTCGAGTGGGCTCGACCTTCTAATCATGGACCAACGAGGATCAGTCCTAATCCAAACCAGAGATCCAACATATTGGATCTTGTATTCTTAGCTCCATCTGAGATCTTAATCTCGATGACCAGATTGGAGCACGATCTCCAGGGTCCATCAGATCATGTTCCGATCTGTGCGCATCTTGACATCGGTCCTGAACCACCCATCACCTTCGTTTACGTTCCATCTGCACTGCGGTGGGATATCCTGTTAAATGTCTAAAAGTGACCACATCAGGGATTGAACCTGGGACCTCCTGGTTCCATGCACAGGCGCTCTAACCACTGAGCTATATGGTCAATGTTCAATATGAGTTGGATATTGGTTATATACCCAAGGATGAACATGACTACTCTGCCATTCTGGTGCACTGCATGGGCTGGCACTAGGCTTTACTTGAGTAGTTCAGAGGTTCTTACCATGTTAGTATGGCTTGACATGTCACCATCTAACATATCCATGGTGAGGCACACAGGTACGTCACTGAACTCAAAGTCAGGGTTGGACATTGAAAGACGGACAATTCTATAGATGTGCTACGCTCCCGAGCTGCGCACTCCATCCTGGACTCATGGAGTTCCTGTTAAAACTTCCATCACATGTCTCAACTTCTATATGGGGTTGGACCACATGACTGCACATGACTGTGTCCTCACATGATCAGGTGACATCACCTGACTCATCCCAAAGTGGTCTAGATCTATCCTCATTCTATCTCATCTTATCTAGATACATCTGTAGATTCATCTGATCTCTGGATCTGGATCTGATCTGTGATCAGATCCCAGATCCACTTGGTTACCTTCATCATTCTTATTGTTCCCAGTCTCCATTTGGGTTTCCCTTTGTTCTTTAGTATATATATGACTGCTGTCAGATGCCTAAAGTCCCCAGTTTCTCACTCCGGACTTCAGGCAAGTAGTTTATCCTGTATTACCCAATATGACCAGTTTCTTACTCCAGATTTCAGAGCCTCATATCTCCTCAGTCCCTTATCCTGAGTTGCTCATCTTTGGCACACCATTGCCTTGCGTGTTCCCCTACCTGTCCACACTTAACAGGTTATGGGCCCTGCGCTTTAAGCGCTGTAATTTCGTGTTTTTGTAAACTCGCACCTCTTGTTTCACAAAGGCATATTACTTCTCTTTGTTGTAATCCCTTGCCAGGCCCAGCCATACATTGCTGCCGCCAGTATTGGAAGGACTTGCACGCTATTAGAGCTGAGTCTCCCCTGGAACAACCATCTGGACTCCAGGTTACCTTACAATTTCGTTTTTGTTAGTCTACTCTAGTTAGACTTCAACTTCATTTGCGAGTTTGCAGATCACCTAGTGTAGGGAACATTGCATAACTCATTTTGGGATATATTCACATGTCCCCTCTCCACTTCCCATACAGTTCATTCATCTACCATCATTATTTCATCCGAAATCACCATGTCCTCATCAGTCTCGCTTTCCACATTCCCCAAACTCAATGCAACCAACTACAACACTTGGAAACAGGACATGACTGCCTGGTTCTGTGCTGCTGGTTTGTGGCGCATTGTTGATGGGAAGCAATCTGCACCTGTCCTTGCTTCTCCTGCCACTGGAGCAGATTTGATTGCAGAAGACACATGGTTGATCAAGGTGGATCATGCTGCTGGCGCTTTAGCCCTCTCTGTTGAGGAAGAGCAGCGCATTCACTTTGATGGTATTGATGATGATCCTGTCAAGATGTGGAAGGCTTTGCAAGACGTGTTTGTCCAAAGATGTCCTGGTACCCGCTTTGATGCCTATGACAACCTCTTCTCTATCCAGAAGAAGGAGGGTGAGTCCTTGCAGTCTCTCATGAATCATGTTGACGAAGCTATCCACCGTATCAAGGAGCTTTGTGACAAGGATTTCACTCTCCCCAAGCTTGACAATGAGTTGAACTGCATGGCACTCATTTGTGCCCTTCCTGAGGAGTACCAATCTTTTGTCTCCTTGCCTCATCTGATGGAAAAGATGGACAAGGATGCTGTCCGCTCTCCAGGAGTGGTTTGAGGCAGATGATCTCTGCCGCATCACCTTCATCTATGTTCCATCTGCTCTGCAGTGGGATTTTTTTTTTTTTTTTTTTGATCAACAATTTATATAGCAGTGCTCGAAGGCAGGCCGCTCGCTATCTACAAACATGTACGCTGCGCAGCCTGGGTACTAAGTAAACTACTAAAAGATGACCACCCCCCCAACCAAGACCCTTTGGGATCAAACACCGAAGCTCCCCAGAGAGCAACCCACCTCACAAAAACAGTGCAGCAGGATAAGGGGAGGAAACCATCGATGTCCTGCTATGCCCCAAAGTCATTGATCGCTGTTTGGAGGCTGCACAGCGCAAATGAAATAAGAGAGCACCACCTGGGAGGTGGCAAGGTGTCTTGAGGCTGACAAGCCAAAGATGCGCCTGCCCGAAACCAGACGCAGAAAGTTAGCGGCACCACAACCCGCCATAATAGCGGCCGCAAGCACGAAGAAGAGAAGTTGGCACAGGTCTTCGAACCCTAGAGTTTGGTGGTGTCAATTCACCATAAATCCCCCAAAAGGAGGAACAACCCTGCCCGCAACGATCATCTGACACCCAAAGGGTCCCGGTTGAAGCCAAACGCTGTAGGGTTGTGCTTCAAAAACGATGCAATATCCCCAAGAAAACAGGGATAATGTACAGAATATCTGTCACGGCAGCGAGAGAGGTCATGCTGGCAAGACTGCAAAGCAGCCCTGCAAGTGCAGCCATGAGGCTCATTGATCTTGAAGCGATGGTAATACGCTCCAATGGGTGTGTGGCCATTATACACCAGCAAACACGAGCAAACTCAGTGATACTGTGTCCGAATGTTGAAAGCCAAGGTCCCCCATTGAGGTACGATGGCTGAATCGGCTGCCTGTCAGGCTGTTGAAGCTCTAAGAATTCAGAGCCTCGGTATGTTGGATCCTGGAAAGTGGAGTTCCACAAGTCCAGGACTGAGTGTGCAGCTCGAGAGCGAAGCGTGTCTATAGAATTGTCCGTCTTACGACGTCCAACCCTGACTTTAAGTTCAGTGATGTACTTGTGCGCCTCACCATGAATGTCCCACCGCAGAGCAGATGGAACATAAACAAAGGTGATGCGGTGGAGATCATCCACCTCGAACCACTCTTGGAGAGTGCATACTCTTTCGCTGTCGGGATCGATACTCTGTACACTATCCCTGTTTCCTCAGGGATATTGCATCATTTATGAAGTACAACCCTATGGCGTTTGGCTTCACCCGGGACCCTTTGGGGGTCGGATAATCGTTGAAGGCGGGGTTGTTCCTCCTTTTGGGGGATTTATGGTGAATTGACACCACTGAACTCTAGGGTTCGAAGACCTGTGCCAACTTCCCTTCTTCGTGCTTGCGGCCGCTATTATGGTGGGTTGCGGCGCCGCTAACTTTCTGCATCTGGTTTCGGCCAGGCGCATCTTTGGCTTGTCAGCCTCAAGACACCCTGCCACCTCCTGGGTGGTGCTGTTTCTTTCATTTGCGCTGCGTGGCCTCTGAACAGCGTCCAACGGCTTGGGTCTGGCTTTGTGGGAGTTTCAGCGTTTGAGCCACAAGGCTCACAGTTGGGGGGGCGAACATCTTTTAGTAGTTTACTTAGTACCCAGGCCGCATAGTGTATTTGTTTGTAGATAGTGAGCGGGCTGCCATCGAGCCCCGCTATATAAGTTGTTGATCAAAAAAAAAAAAAAAAAAAAACAAGGATGCTGTCAAGCTTGCCTTTGTTGCTGAGGAAAGTCATCGCAATCACCGTGCTGCTACTGCTGCTGCAGTTGGTACAGCACTTTCTGCCTCTACTTCTTTGCCCTCTCATCCTGTTCATTGCACTTTCTGTGGCCAGACTGGTCATGTCATTGAAAAGTGCTATGCCTATGCAGATGCATCTGCTAAGGCCAAGGACAGAGCAAAGAACAAGGGCAAAGCAAAGGCAAACAAGGCCCAGGAGGTTCCAGATGACAAGAAGGAAGTTGTTGAATTTGCTGGAAATGCAAGTGTTCTTTCTACTTTTGATCCTTCCAATCCATCCACTCCATTGCAAATGGATGCTGACTTTGATTGGGTTGCAGACACAGGGGCCACTTCTCATATGACCTCTCATTGTCACTGGATATGCAATTATGCTTCCCTTTGCATCCCAGTCAAGTTAGCTGACAACAGCATTATTTATTCTGCTGGGGTGGGTACTGTGGTTTTCAACCCAGTTGTAAATGGAAAGAAGGTTCGATCTGTAGAATTAACTCATGTCTTGCATGTACCCCAACTCCGAAATAATTTATTGGCCTGTCTCTATCTCACATGTCACAAGGGCTTTGACATTCATATTGGCAGAACTCATATGAATTTCAAGCGTAATGGACAGATCTTGTTCCAAGCACCCATCCTGTCCAATAACAGTGCCCAGTTGAACGGAGTCACAGAGCCTATTGAGGAGTCAGCAAATCACATCTCCACTCTTCCCCTTCATCTCAATCTCTCTTTTTTTTTTTTTTATCAACAATTTATATAGCGGTGCTCAATGGCAGCCCGCTCGCTATCTACAAACACGTGTGCTGCACAACCTGGGTACTAAGTTAACTACTTAAAGATGACTGCCCCCCCAACCAAGACCCTTCCTGTCTATACATTGAAACTTCCTGGAGGGCAACCCACCTCACGAAAACGGTGCATCGGGATAAGGGGAGGAAACCATCAAGGTTCCGCTATGCCCAAAGTCATTGATCACTGTTCGGAGGCCACACAGCGCAAATGAAATAAGAACAGCACCATCCGGGAGGTGGCAGGGTGTCTTGAGGCCGACAAGCCAAAGATGCGCCTGCCTGAAACCAGATGCAGAAAGTTAGCGGCGCTGCAACCTGCTATAATAGTGGACCGCAGGCACGAATGAGTTGTTGCAGGTGCAGGTCTTCAAACCCTAGAGCTTGGTGGTGTCAATTCACCATAAATCCCCTGAAAGGGGGAACAACCCCGCCTGCAGTGATTATCCAACACCTGAAGGGTCCCAGTTGAAGCCAAACACTGTAGGGTTGTGCTTCAAAAACGATGCAATATCCCCGAGAGAGCGGGGATAGTGTACAGAGTACCTATCGTGACAGCGAAAGAGGACATGCTGATGGGACTGCAGAGCAGCCCTGCAAGTGCAGCCATGAGGCTCATTGATCTTGAAGCGATGGTAATACACTCCAATGGGTGCATGGCCAGTTATATACTGGCAAATGCGAGTGAACTCAGTGATACTGTGTCCGAAATATGAAAGCCAAGGTCCCCCATTGAGGTAGGATGGCTGTATTGGCTGCCTGTCAGGCCATTGAAGCTCTAAGAATTCAGAGCCTCAGTAGGTTGGATCCTGGAAAGTGGAACTCCACGAATCGAGGACTGAGTGCACCGCTTGGGAGTGAAGCGCATCTATAGAATTGTCTGTCTTGCGACGTCCAACCCTGACTTTAAGTTTGGTGATGTACTTGTGTGCCGCACCATGGATATCCCACCGCAATGCAGACGGAACATAAACGAAGGTGATGCGGCAGAGATCATCCACTTCGAACCACTCCTGGAGAGTGCGACAGACTGACAAGCTAAAAGCCTGACCAGAGTGCATGGAGGGGTCCACTGCTCTGTGGGCCAAGCCCATAGAGTCAGTAAAGACCATGATATGTTGGCAGTTCACCTGCTTGACAGCAAGGCGCACTGCACATGCAATGGCATTGAGTTCTGCATCCAGGGCGGTTACCCTGCCAGAGACATAGCAAGTCCTTTCGAGCTCGCGATGTCCCTTGTAGATGATGGCAGCCAAAGCCGCCTGATACTGGTTGGATTGAGGGACAGAGCCATCAGTTGCAGCCAGTACTGTGCGAGGGTTGGCCCTCACAGTAGCAATGAGCTCATCTAGATATGGACGCCTATCCTGGGTAGGATTGCGCTCGTCAAAGTGGAGACGGTCCGCAAAGCGGTCCAGCAACCAATCACCAGGGCGAGCTTCGGGCGCAAAGGGCTCAAAGCTCTCAGTTAAGGTGTGGACACGCTCGTCCACCTCCATGACAGTGCTCTTGACATTCCCTCGCATAGCTGGGGTCATCAAGGTGGCTGAGCAGGCATGAGGTTCAGCCTGCTTGAGGAGTGCCACACCAGGAGATGGAGGTGGAGGGCTCTCAGGGAGGGGAAGAGGTCCATGGGGACTCTTCCGTCAACCTGCTCTTAGGTCAATACACCTTGAAGTTCTGAGACACCGTTGAGGACCTTCCGGGCGATCTCGAGGTGTTGACCACATCCATTGCGAAGGCAACAGACTGGGTTCTGCAGGCTGCGCATCACGATCCGCTCTCTATCAATGGGGGCGATGCCTTTGCGGCTCAGATGACGGCCTTTGTGAACACCATCGTGGCCACCAACTTTGGCAGGATTCGTGGACAAGGCGATCTTGCAGATATCTCTCTCACCTCCATGCTTGAGGCCGAGATGTCCTCCAGGGAAGAGCTGACTATTCACCCAGCCCCTGTCTTCCATCCTCCCCCCGCTGTTGATGAGGGTGTCGAGGGCGATGTCCGCATGCAGGAATTGGACGACTCTGCTTGCCCTGCCTCCCCCTCTCGCATCCCTGCTTCCAAGAAGCACAAGGGTGTTGATTGTCCAGTGCCACCTCCTCAGAAGAAGAAGAGCAAGGTTGCCTACTCTTGCCCTGGTCCGCCTCCGCTGATCAATCGTGCTACCAAACCCAAGTCTTGTCTGACGACGTGGGCAGGGATTGCACGACAGGCCATGCCGATGCCTCCCCCGCCTCCTGGCTTGGGACCGCAGCGTCGTGGGCCTTCCCCTCCCCCTGCATTCCCAACGGGTCCAATGAAGACTTCGCTTCATCAGTCTGTTCCTTCTTTTACTTCTGAGGGCCCCACCCAGAAGCAGGTTCTTGTGTCATTTGGGGGTACCCCTCCCGACTTCACGAAATTCTTCACCAAGTTGGCCGTCCATGCGGCCAACGGATACCTCAGGGATGGCCATTCCATGTTGAAGGTCACCTCCATTGTCCACACCTACGACAGCCTGTCGTTGGTCACCCCTGCTGTTGCCAGCCCATCTGACCTGGACATCCTGCGCAACTTCATCCATGAAAGCCTCCCAACGGGTACCCCATTTGAGGTTGCACTCCTGTCATCGACATCTTTTATTAAGATCCTCAATGTTCCTTACTTTGACCCCAAAGGGCTGAAGATCACCCAGGAGGCGCTTGAAAAGGCCCTCCGTACCTCGGTTCATGCTGAGGTTTTCGCGTATCTGAGCACCAAGCCTCGGATCGGCTGCAACTCGGCGCACTCTACCTTGTGCACCATCTACTGCAATCTTTGGGACTCCCAGCAGAGGACCCGCACCAAGAAGGCCCTTGGCCAACCGATCTTCCTTGCTGGGCGGTCCTGTGCAATCAGGCCAGCCGTGCGACACACCGGGGTTCCACTTTGCCAGCGATGCTGGAAGTGGGGCCATCCTACCGTCGCCTGTAAGGCAAAGCAACTCTTCTCCCCTATCTGTTCAGGTCTGCATGAGCAGAAGGAGCACCGCCAACATGCGGGATGTTGCAAGGGGAACGCGAAAGCAAAGACCCCTGTGCTGCCCACCCCTCACGACCAGCCCTGTCCCCACAAGGGCCACTGCATCAACTGCCACAAGGACCACACCGCCAACTTGGCTTTGTGCAAGTTCTGGGCTCATTGTTACGACCGTGAGTGGATCATGGCCAAATATCATCAGGTACATGAGCATGCTGCTCGCCACCAACTTACTAACCCCCGAACCTAGACCAATGTTGGGAAACCTTCAGGATCTAAATAGTGGGCTACGTATTTACTGTCAGAATGTTTGTCATACCTATGCGCATGTAGACACCCTCCTCGAACTTTGTAAAACAAATTTTGATATTTTATTCTTCCAAGAAACTCCTTGGAATTTCATAAGGCACGCACCGTCCACCACTAGCATGGAGGGCAGTGAGGTTATCGGCGCACCAAAGCATCCGGACTGGCTGCAAATGGTGTGCATTAAGGAAGGGGAAGTTCCCTGTGTGATCGCCTATGTTTCGACTAGGCTCTCCCGCTATCATCCCGCTATGCACTGCGACATCCTCGTCCTCTCCCTCTTCAGTGGGGGTGAGGTTCTCAACCTAATGAACGTCTACTCGGTTAAGGGTCTCCAGACTAGTGCGCTGGCTTTTGACATCGCGCAGTTTTTCCCTTCTATCAACCATGAAATGTTCATGGCTGTTCTTTGCAAGCAAGGATTCTTGCCGATTCTGGTGGAGTTCTTTGCTTCTTATCTTGTCGGTCGGTCCACAGTTTACTGCTGGAACACCTTCCAATCCGACTCACGGTCCACAGACATGGGTGTCAGGCAGGGCTCTGCTCTCTTGCCTGTTACCTCAGGGCTCTTCATTGCTCCAGTAATGAAGCTCTTCTACATCAAGGCGGCACTGCTCAACACGACACTACTCTCCTTTGTGGATGATGGGACCATCTTGGCCCAATCCAAACAACTCGATGATAATAATGTGGGCCTGCATAAGGCCTACAAAATTATCTACCTCCTCTTTGTTGCTTTCGCACTCGTTCTTGAACATGACAAGACTGAGTTGTTCCACTTCTCGCGTCGACGCAACACCTATAATCCTTCGCTGGATCTGGGGTACGCCCCGCATACAGGCGATACACCTTTGAAACCCAAGACCTATTGGAGGTACCTAGGCTTCTACTTTGACCGCAGGCTCACGTTTCATGAGCATGTTTGCTACTATGCCACCAAGGCATTCACCACCGTGCAGGCCATGCACCTGCTCAGAAACTCTACCAGAGGACTTTCGCCTAAGCAGCAACGCCTCCTTTATAGATTGTGCGTGGTTCCCATTGCCACATACAGTTATTGTCTCTGGTATTTTGATGGCACCCATAATGAGAGCACCATGAACCAGCTCAAGCGGATGCAGCAGAAAGCTGCTCTATGGATCACAGGTGCCTTCTGCACCTCACCCACAGGTGGTCTTGAGGCCCTTGCTGGTCTCATCCCCGTCCATCTCATGCTGAAGAAGCTAGCAATGTGTGCAGTGTATCGCATTGCTACCCTCTCAGACTCTCATCCTCTTCGCTCTATGATGGGTGAGAGACTCCTTAAGCGGGCCGTACCACATGCCTGTTCAGCTGCTTTGATGACCCCAGCTATGTGAGGGAAAGTCAAGAGTACTGTCATGGAGGTGGATGAGTGTGTCCACACCTTAACTGAGAGCTTCGAGCCCTTTGCACCTGAAGCTCACCCTGGTGACCAGTTACTGGACTGCTTTGCGGACCGTCTCCACTTTGACAAGCGCGATCCCACCCAGGTTAGGCACCCATATCTCGATGAGCTCATTGCGAAAGTGAGGGCCGACCCTCTAACTGTACTGGCTGCAACTGATGGCTCTGTCCCTCAGTCCAACCAGTATCAGGTGGCTTTGGCTGCCATCATCTACAAGGGACATCACGAGCTCGAAAGGACTCGCTATGTCTCTGGCAGGGTAACCGCCCCTGATGCGGAACTCAATGCCATCTCATGTGCAGTGCACCTTGCTGTCAAGCAGGCAAACTGCCAACGTATCATGGTCTTTACTGACTCCATGGGCTCAGCCCATAGAGTGGTGGACCCCTCCGTACATTCCGGCCAGGCTTTTAGTCTGTCACTCTGTCACGCTCTCCAAGAGTGGTTCGAGGCGGATGATCTCCACCACATCACCTTTGTATACGCTCCATCTGCATTGTGGTGGGACATCCATGGTGAAGCACACAAGTACGTCACTGAACTCAAAGTCAGGGTTGGACGTCATAAGACAGACAATTCTATAGACACGCTACGCTCTCAAGCTGCACACTCAAGTCTGGATGCATGGGGCTCCATGTTCCAGGATCATACCTACCGAGGCTCTGAATTTTTGGAGCTTCAATGGCCTGACGGATGGCTGATACAGCCATCCTACCTCAACAGGGGACCTTGGCTTTCAACCTTTGGACACAGTATCACTGAGTTCGCTTGCGTCTGCCGGTGTATAACTGGCCACACACCCATTGGAGCATACTATCGTCGCTTCAAGATTAACGAGCCTCATGGCTGCACTTGTGGGGCTGCTTTGCAGTCTCACCAACACGTCCTCTTTTGCTGCTGCGATAGATACTCTGTACACTATCCCTGTTTTCTTGGGGATATTGCATCATTTTTGAAGCACAACCCCATGGCGTTTGGCTTCAACCGGGACCCTTTGGGGGTCGGATAATCACTGCAGGCGGGGTTGTTCCTCCTTTAGGGGGATTTATGGTGAATTGACACCACCGAACCCTAGGGTTCAAAGACCTGCACCAGCTTCACTCATTCGTGTTTGCGGCCTGCTGATATAGCAGGTTGCAGCACTGCTAACTTTCTGCATCTGGTTTTGGGCAGGCGCTTCTCTGGCTTGTCAGCCTCAAGACACCCTGCCACCTCCTGGGTGGTGCTTTTCTTATTTCATTTGTGCTGCGTGGCCTCTGAACAGCGATCGACGACTTTGGGGTGTAGCAGAACCTTGATGGTTTCCTCCCCTTATCCCGATGCACTGTTTTTGTGAGGTGGGTTGCCCTCTGGGGAGTTTTGGTGTTTGAGCCCAAAGGGTCTTGGTTGGGGGGGCAGTTGTCTTTTAGTAGTTTACCTAGTACCCAGGCTGTGTAGCGTACATGTTTGTAGATAGTGAGTGGGCTGCCATCGAGCACCGCTATATTACAAGTTCTTACATAAGTAAGACTTGTTCTTTCAACCTGGGACACGGAGATCATTTTGCTTTCCCATGTTATGGTCATCCATGCTTTTTTTCCCACAGTAAGTATTACATTGATGGCATAGCTACATTTTCAATAGTTCACTGCATTTTTACTGGCTACTGTAGTAATTGTTCAGCCACCGCCACCTGCCCCTCTCAACTCCATGACCACCTGCTCGCCCTCCTCACCCTCTGCCTCTCGCCCCTACCAACAGCCTTCAAGGACACCGAACGACACCGAACCTCCGTGTTCAGCATTGTTCGCACTAGTTCTGTGTCCCGCCTGCCTGCCCATCTAGCACCGCCTGCCTCTTGCCTTCCGCCACCACCCTCCCCTCCTCTCGCCCCTCCGACACCATCTGGAGAAGTCCAGATGATGGCGGTTGTGAAAGACGAAGGGGCCCAGCAAATTTAGCAAGTGTTTGTAGGGACACAAACAAATGATGCACAAAAACTCTCGGAGAGTTTTCATGCGTCATAGGTCCCACACCCCCGGGGGCCATCCCACCGGGGTTGTTTGGGGTCCTGCTCACCCTGCCGCCCACCTGGTTCACCCCACCACCACCCCCTC